AGATTTTGGGGTTGGGGGGGTGTTTTATTTATATCCTGTTCTTTCTAGGGGAAGATAACTCTTCGGACGCTGTCTTTGGAATCAAACGTTTCTACCTGCAAGGCCCTTTGGGGCTTGATGCGTTAAGTGATGTGAAATTCCGATATTTTTGGTACACTTTCAGCAATTGCTCACGAGAGGGAGCTCCGAGGAAGCTTCAAGTCTTCCTGCAGTCAAAACAAAACAAAACAAAAAACCCCAATATATCTCCTTATCTATTATGAACTCTGCTCTCTCCAAACATTTACATTCCCTGACTTCGTGTCAAAAATTCAGTTTCATCTGCCAGTGGTTTTTCCGTCTCTGGAAATTGGCTGTGTTCTCTGGGAGACGGAACCAAACTGAGGAATTGCTCTCTCTTAGGCAACCCAAATAATTTCTGATATTCTAATCATGGTATGAATTTGCAGGCCTGAAAGGTTTTCTATAAATAAGCTTTCAAAGAGCAGATTAGTAATGAAAATAACTGTAAAGAAATTTTCTCCCCTTTCTTTAACAGGAAGTGGTTTTGATCTTGGTATTATCTGCTGCTTCCTGATTTAAAACAGGTATTCATTCTTCTTTTCTCTGTAGAAAATTGAGTACGTCACCGTATCTTTTACTATGTTCATATTAGCACTTTAGAATTTAATTGCTGGCAATTGCACACCGTTCGCTTTTTCACCATCTTCACTAATAATAAAATACATGTGCCATTAAAGCAGCTTTTCTAGAGGCGATATTTCCATTTATTCGTGTGTATTAATCCTCCTTTCCTTTTCACTGTAACCGGGGTGTTCACAACAGGGAATGTTTTTTAAAATTTTAATACAGAAAGAATTTGTTTAAGCGTGTGAGGTGACTTTGTTTATGTTCAGCTTGTGCATTTTAGTGTCTTAAGATGATATTAATTTATTTTTTATTTTTCATATGGCTTATATAAGCTGCTGTTTAATGCCTAATAGAAAAAAAAATCTTGCTATTTAAGAAGGTTGACTGGAAGAATATGTGCAGGTATGTTAATTGTGGAACAGAGTATATTGCTTGTGAATTCCTGACTGAATAGCTACTAAGTAATTTGGCCAATATTCTTCTTTCCTCTACTACTGGCTCATTTCTACCTACTTATTTTTAGGTAACGGTTTCTTGTAAGGTGAACATAACCTTTAAGATTTGTAGAGGCTATTTCTAAGCACAAATAGAAATTACCTGAAAATCTGCTTTTATCTGTATCATTTAAAGAGTACTCTAAATTTATTTTATCACATAGGCATAGAAATCAAGGTGAATTGTCTGATCCAAAACGGTTGTCCTTTGAAACGTTGAATTTATTAAATGCTTTGAAATTATGTTCCTTGAAAGAAAAAGGTTTATTTAGGGTAGTTGACTTGATTTTAAAATAAAAGCAACAAAAAATATTTCTAAAATATTTTACATTTATGAAGGGCCAGAGGTGGGAAAATGTTTCTGGAAGCTTTTGTAATAAAAATATTAAATGAAAATTACTTTGCAGGCTTTTTCTGATTATATAGTAAATTAATTTTTTTTTTTGTCAGACGGTACTGCAGTTCACTTTTTACAAATACATTCACAGTGAGGGAAACGTTTCTTCATCGAAAGGGTTATGAAGCATCAGAACAGGCTGCCCAGGGAAGCTGTTGAGATGCCACCCCTGGAGGGATTTAAAAGCCGTGTAGAAGTGGTGCCCAGGGATTTGGGTTCGTGGTGGGCCTGGAAGGGCTGGATTAACAGTCAAGACTTTGTAATTTTAAAGGTCTTTCCCAACCCAAATGATTCTGTGGTTCTGGGTACTTAAATTCGTCAGTAAAGCAACAGTTGGCATTGAATAATAAATACATTAATCATAGGGGATCCATGTTCTTTGCCACTTCTATTTTTTTCTCCCCATTCAAAAAAAAAGTATCTTTAGGTGTGTTTTAGCTTTTACTGTGAACTCTAAGGCCTGAATTGTCTTCCTCGTGGTAGGAAGGGTGTCTTGTTTTTTTCCCTGTAAGTAGGAAAACAGAAAACAGATTGTGCTGTACAGTGGTTCTGGACTGTGACTGCATCATAATGCTGTTATTGCCAATGATGGATGGCAGGAGGATTTTTTTTTTTCTCTGGTCTCTTGCAAATTTGTGTATTTTAAATGCACTCAGCATTTCAAGGTTTGCATAGCTCATTTCTGAACCTTTCATATTGAAGGATTTTATTTCGTACACCTTTGGGGTAAATCTGGTGCGAAGAGACTGGTGTACGTCTAGGACAGTGGCAGACTAGGGGTTTATGCCTTGCTTTTTTTAAAAGGAGATGATCTTACTAGAACAATTCCTTTTTTTTTTCTGATTATGTTCGGGTCTGACGTGCTGCATGATTTTCTGTGCGTAAATGGGACAAGTTTTGTCCTCTTTCTGTTATTAACTAATTTAGATTACTTTGAGAGAACAGGGTTGACCTGTCAGTTCCAAACCTGCCTGGGTATGAGCTGCATTAGTTTGTGTGTGTCGTGTGGGAGAAAATAAAGAACGAATAACGTTTTTTTTTACTTTTTCAGCTATATCCTCTCTCAGCCGCTTATCAGCATACACAGAAGTCAGGATTGTGGAGAGAAATCAGAAGTGCCGTTATTTCAGAAATAAGCTGCTGTGTCTGTAGTTGGTGAGGATGCCAGTGCAGTGGTTTAAAACAGGTAATTGGGACTGGGTAGGAGCCAAAAAGCTCAAAATAATGGACTGATAAGGTAACTGATGAACTGACAAAATATCCAGAGGCTGACCATGTGTGCATATATTTTGGATTAGCATAGGTCATAGCTCAGAAAACACCTTTACATTAAATGAATAAGCTGCAGAGATGACTCTCTGGGTTCTGTGTCTAAGAAATGAAAGGACATGAAGTTGGGTAAGTGGCAGACAATTCGCATATACAGACTGATTTGCTCTGACCAAATATTAGAAAGATAAAAAAGTTGTGTGTAATTTTATCAAACAAAACCCATGAGATGGGAAAGTAATACTGCGATCCCTGGTACGATGTGTCTGCCTGAGCTGTCCAAGTAAGTGAAACGCTTGGCTTGAGTCTCGAGTCATCTGTAAATTCAGGTCAATGTCTTCAGTCCTCAGTGCAGAGTATTAGGTGCTCTACAGCTGTGATTTTTAGCAGTGAGAATTAGGTGTCTACAACCCTTTCAGTGTCTGAGTCTCTTAGTTTCATCTCTGTAATCTTGTAATTCTTATGCCTCTGGAAAATCTCATTGTTTTAGAAGAGCTCATAACTGAAAGGATCATATGAGTGGGCACCACTTCTACGTAGACATGAGTTGGATTGTGAAGATGCACTTGATTCAGGATTAACGGAGTAGTTGATGTATTTTCTAAGTATAGCTATTTTCTTCTCCCCCAAACAAGATGCTAGCTAATGTTTTCTACATTTTCCCAGAGTGGTCATGACTGCGTGTTTTGAAACAATCTCACTAAAGTCTACTCCTTCTGTTTAACTAGTCTGGCAGCAGTTTGGACTCGTTGACAGAACAAAGAAAGAAGCACTGCGGGGGAGAGAATTGTCTGACTGCAGTTCCCCTGTTGTTCTTCATCTTTTGTGTGGCATTATTCAAGTTATTTAACTTATCTGTACCTCAGTTTCCTTTTTAAATTAGGGACTAAATTATTCTTTTTTAAATAAAAAAAAAGGAGGTTCCTAATTCCGGATGCAGCGAGCATCCTACAACAGGTGATCAACTGTTTGCATTAATATTTTTGGTTCCTAAATTCAGTTCTTTAGGACTGATGACCCTTAATGTAAGTTCGCAGATGACACCAAGTTGGGTGGGAGTGTTGCTGTGCACAAGGATAGGGAGGCTCTACAGAAGGACTTGGATAGATTGGATCAACGGGCCAAGGTTAATGGGATGAGCTTCAAAAAGGCCAAGTGCCAGGTCCTGCACTTGGACCACAACAACCCCATGTATCACTACAGGCTTGGGGAAGTGTGGCTGGAGAGCTGTCTGGCAGAGAAAAGACCTCGGAATTCTAATAGAGAAGCATGTGAATATGAGCCAGCGTGTGCCCAGGTGGCCAAGGAGGCCAAGGGCATCCTGGCCTGTGTTAGGAACAGTGTGAGCAGCAGGAGCAGGGAGGGGATTGTCCCCCTGTGCTCGGCACTGGGGAGGCCCCACCGGGACTGTTGGGTCCAGTTCTGGGCCCATCAACCCAAGGGAGATCTCGAGG